ATTTCGTACGGATTGAGCACACTGTAAAGAGATCTGAAGATGTGAAAGTCAGCTTGTTACCTCGATTCTCTCTGTCGATGAGTTTGAAAACCATACGATATTCATCTATGGCTTCTTGGGGGAGATCGATGTCAGTCGAAGGCTTCATTGAATGATACTTTTTCCTACTCAGTCCGATCAGTTCGAACCTACTCCCCTCCCTCAGTTCAAGGTTGATAGAGATCCTATCATCGTACCGATTCACGATGCTACAGCGGAACACAAGCTGATTGTGGAATCCTCAACCACTATTCGGGCGCGCGCTTTTTACCATTAACTAGCAGAGATCGATCAGGCGATCGATAAGGTAGTGAGATTCGCCTGTCCAACCTTCTTCAGACCTCTAACCTGGTTGTTTAATCATGGGTCGCCGTCCAGCTCGTTGTTATCGCTATTGCAAGAACAAGCCCTACCCCAAGAGTAGGTTCTGCAGGGGTGTGCCTGATCCTAAGATCAGGATCTACGATGTTGGCTACAAGAACGCCTCCGTAGATGAGTTCCCCGCTGCCGTTCACATGGTTTCTGATGAGTACGAACAGGTAACACTGTGCTCATCTTTCTTATCGGTGGTTATCGCTCCACTTTAGGTCTCGTCTGAGGCTTTGGAAGCTGCCCGTGTCGCCGCCAACCGTTACATGTTGCGTTGGGCTGGTAAGGAAGGCTTCCACATGAGGATCCGTGTACATCCTTATCACGTCCTCCGTATCAACAAAATGCTTTCCTGTGCTGGTGCTGATAGGTAGAGTATATAAGTCCTTCGTCGTGGTCAATTCACTATTCTTGTTTAGGCTCCAGACTGGTATGCGTGGTGCTTATGGCAAGCCCAATGGTACTTGTGCTCGTGTCAACATCGGCCAGGTGTTGATCTCCATCCGAACTAGGTTGGACAAGGAGCAGATTGCCGTTGAGGCTCTTAGGCGTGCTAAGTTCAAGATCCCTGGTCGTCAGAAGATTCATGTTTCTCACAACTGGGGCTTCACTCGGTTCACCAAGGACGACTACCAGAAGTACAAGGCCATGGGCCGTTTGATCCCCATGGGAGTCCACGCTCAGTGGCTCTCCTCTAAGGGTTCTCTTGATCGTTTCATTGGCGCTCAGTAAGTAGTAGTGGATACTAAAGGTTCCCTAATACTTGCTGATAGCAGAATCATCATCGCTTTTGTTGGAAGGGCTAAACCATTGAAATAGCTTCTGGGTTCAATGTAAAGTGTAGAGTTCCTAGTATCGGGTGGTGTAGGGTTTGCTCATTGACTGGTTTTCTGTCTAGTCGTGGAGGCAATTTTCGTGCTGTTCTGTCATGCTATTCTCATGAATGTTGCATGTTGCTGATAGAGCCTGATTTCTTGTGGATTTGATGAATAAGTCAGTTGAGGTAAATACCACGCTAGAAAGATGGTGAGACTCATCTTGGGATCACATCGAAGTCTCACGATTTTGTGATTTTCGTGTACATGTGCACGTGGCATTTGAATCTGTGGGTCTTCATAGGGCTTAAAAATACTGATCATTGATACATTGAGCCAATATAGTCATCTTGCCGAATTTAGCTCCCCGTATTTACAATGTGTAGAGTACCTTAAGTGAACATAAGCTCAATGATAGGACTCTAGCCCGGTTGGTCTAATCTAGCATGCTTATTGCTGATTCCGGTATATGTTGTAAAAGAGAACATAAGATAGAGTCGAA